TGAGGGTACCCCCTGCTATTTATGCACTGATGTAGAATTCCTAAATGTGTGAAGAATTAGCATCTTGATCATTTATAAATTTTATAGTCTGAAATACACTTTATTTGATAAACGCCCATACAGCTTACCTTGTGATGAGCACTATTCTAGGTAAGTTTTGAATACTAATGCATTTAATAAAATTAATCTTGGCCCCACTTTGAGAACCCTTGCTGTATGTATTTCATCAGCCTTCCCCATGAGCAGTTCTTCACCTGGAGACAATGGGCAGCATTTAGTGAGTGTGTGAATTTGGATGGAAAAATTACATTTATAGTTTCACTCATCTTTAAATGAAATTTAGCATTTTCCCCCCATTATACATTGCAGGCAACAGATATAGCAGTATCTTTGACTTTTTCACCAGTATCACAGACACTATCACATCATACAGTATTGCAAATTTCTTGAAATATTTATGCTCATCACTACTTCAAAATTAAAGTAGCTCTTAGACCTGTCATTATATATTGCTATGTCAAGTTGCTATATCACAAATGTTTTAAAAATATTTCAATAAGTGTATTATTCCAATATATTTGGTTTCCTTTGTATTTTATTTCACACATTTAAAAACATTATTCTGATAAGGGGTTCATGGGCTTCCCTTGACTTCCCAAGGGATCCATGGCACTGAGAAACATTAAGAACCCCATACTTTATATTCTCCAGCCATACCAGGCAGATACTGGAGTTGATGTGGGGTAGGTTGGAGGGGGGCAGGAATCCCGCATTCTCATACCAGCTCCATCATCCATTAGCTGTGTGACCTAGGGGATGGCTCTTCATCCTTTTGAGACTTGTTTTCCTTAGCTGCCATAGTGGTGAGGGAGCCATCTGCCCCTGCTAACTCACAAGGTGTTGAGAAAATCAAATGGCATAATGCCCTTACACAGAGTTGCTTTGAAAACATTTTAAAGCTCCATATGAGGTGCTGATTGAGAAATATTAATGAGTGAAGGCTGCAGAAGTCTGATGCCGTAGAGGATTACTAATTTGAGGGTGGTCTAATATTCAAATAGACCTAGTGAATTCAGTTTACACTCTTTAATATGCTCTGCAGACTATTTTCCACCCAAGATCTGATAGCATCTCTAAAAGGGTCTACAGCCTTGAATGCACATACTTGTGTGTAATCAGTTTCTTTTCCCTCCTTTTGTTGCCCCAGTAATTAGTTGCTTTAGTATGCTGTTGAGATCTTCTTCTGAGAGAGGACATTTTGGCAAGCTGAGATTTTCAAAGCTTATTGTTAAACTGAAAGACTGGTATAATGCTACATATCTTGGGACATGGGAGAGAAGATAAAGCTCCTTTGGACTCCCTGTTAATAGGATGTCATCTGTCCTGTGATGGCTGTGAGTGGAATTGGAAGGATACTAAGACTGTATTAGAAGACAGTAAAAGGAAGGTTCCTCTCTGTGTTGGCTTGGGAAAGACATTATCTACCTCTGGTGGAGCATTGTTCAGTAAAATCTCCTGAATTTCTCTGAGACAGTAAGGTCTCGTTCTTCCCTTAAGTTACCATGTATCCTCAATACTGTAAAGACAGCTCTGGTGTCATTAACGCATCATTAATATGATTGTTAGTTGAATAGTAATTATAGCTATGTATTGCAGAACTTATTTTGCCAGGCATAGTACTGGGCAGTCTATATTGAGCAAAGCCTCACAAACACTTTGAGGGAAATATACTTAGATTTCCACCTTATAACTGAAGAACAAGGCTCGGAAAAGTTAGGGGATAGTGTTAAGAAGTAACAAGAGGCACCATGGAAAAACATAGTGCAAATTGAAGCCAGGCCAACTGGAGTTCAAATTCTGGCCTTTGTCATATCCTAGTTATGTATCTTGGACAATTTAAACTTTCCAAGCCTGTTTTCTCCTCTTACAAGCTTCTTAACATTTGTAAAGCCTTCCACAGTGTTCTGTGTCATTAGGCAGGCTGCCCCACTAGACCGTAAGCTCTTGAAGAAAAGGGTCATGTTGTATACAGCTTGACATATTTGGACCAAGACTTGCACATATCAGGTAGTCAATAATGATACATGGTTGAACAGTGTGGAATTAATAATAATATTTAACAACTAGGTTAACATGAAGATTAAAAAAATATTGGAGCAGTAGAAAGTTTTGAGCTTGAAGCTGGAGAGACCAAAACTGAATTCTAGTCTCTGCCTCTTAGAAACTTAATCAAGGGAACCAGCAGATGGTGTAATGGTTATGTCGCAAGACTCTCATATAGTTGACCATTGTTTGATTCCCAGATCTAGTGGCTTAAAACTCATGACGGGCAAGTGTGCATGCATGCCCAAGATCCTGAGAGGGGAAAGGAAAAGCGATTGTGGCATGACCATCCTCCCTGTGGGGTGATTTCTTGTTTTCTGTCTCTGTCTCTCTGGTAAATGCACACACCCTATAGCAAAAATATCTCGCTCTTAAAAAAAAAAGAAAAGAAATTTAATCAAGTTCCTTTACACCTCCAAGTCTCTGCTGAAACAGGCTAATGACACTTACTTTTCATATTATAATAAAAATTAATCTAACTATCTATGTATCTATTACTCATCTCTCTCCCTCTCATCTCCTGGTTAATAGGAATCAGTGATCAATGCTAGCTTTAGTAACATATATGAATATAGTTTGGAGTGATACACAAATGTTCACATAGCAAACATTTACTGAGCACCTACAATCATCAGGTTCTCAGGATGAGGCAGCAAACAAGACAAACAAGGACATACTCTCATGGAACTTACACTCTGAGGCAGGGTGAAGGCACAGACAGTAATGGTTCAGGTCTCACGAGTAAGACATCATTACCATCTTATCCACCATCCATAGTTAGTCAACACTGAGTATATTCACATCGAGCTTTTATGGTTTTGGCTAAAAGGTGAAGGACTTCAGTATGTTTAAGCTACCCTTCTAGCTCTCTGTAGGCAGGACCAGTCATATTCCTTTTGTATCCCACAGTGCCTGCCTGAGAGCCTGGGACAGAATAAACATTTGGAATATATTTGAACATCTGCATTTTTCTTGAGGCCCAGCCACATGATGTAGCCTCACAATTCTAGGTATAAATATAGAAATATTTTTGAAAGTGTGAGTAAAGTCATGAAGTTTGACTGAATCATAACCATAATTATGAGTCCTTATTGGGAACTCACTATGGGCCAAGCACTGGCTGGGCAATTTTCAGGTACTCTCTTGCTGAACCTTTACTACCACTTTGTGAAGTAGGTACTTTCTCCTTCATTTTGCCTATAATGAAGTTGAAACTCTCATTGTGTCCATGTAATTTGCCTAGAGACACATAGGTAAGAGATGACCTTGGGTTGTAAGACTACACGATAGGTGCTCAGCAGACAGTAGCAACTGTGGTGAAAACTGAAGCCAGGAGTATTTGATGGCCCATCCACAATAGCTGAGAATCCTGAGGGCTCGCACCATTCTACTGAGTCAAAAGTTCTTGAACATCTATGCTGTCTTTGCAAATAATACCATTTATTCTGCATGATATGAAAATCATATATTTTGGGGGTCAAAAATTTACAAAACTCTATATAACTTGAACAGTGATATGTGTCTAATTTTCTCTGAAAGATAATGCCTTTATTTGCATGTAAGGCATTTAACAAGCAACTTGAAAATATTAAAAAATCAGAACTAGAGATGTGTCAGCAGTAGGGAGGGAGATGAAACAACCATTTGTAAAATAAAGCTTCTATTCATTATTATCTGGAAAAACATCTAACTACTGTATCTCATCAAAATAACAAAAGCAATATTTCAAAATCCTGAAGAACAACAGAATCATAAACAGCATTGAGAATTTATAAGAAAAACAGCTTCATTAATAGATTTCTATGGTGAATGGGAAGGATTGCGAGAGACAGCATGTGCTTCAACCTGATCATGTAATATAATGCAAACTTATTCTACTGGACCATCAGAAAAGTCATGATGCACTTTTGCATAGAAAAATACAGAAAAAAATATGTCATGACTTTTACAATGACCCAATACATTTACACATTAGAAGAATGCTCGACTATTATAGTATTCAGGGTTCTTCAGAAAAACAGAACCTATGGGATGGACACACACACACACACACACACACACACACAAAGAGAGAGAGAGAGAGAGAGATTTTAGGGACTGGTAAGTTTGAGATTTGTAGGGCTGGCTGGCAAACTGTAAATTCTGGCAGGAGGTGATGTGGCAGTTGTGAATCCGAAGGCAGTACAGAGGTAGTACAGAGGCAGAATTCCTACCTCAGGGGACCTTAGTCTTTCAGGCCTTCAATTGATTGGATGAGGTCCATCCACATTACGGTGGGTAATCTGCTTTACTCAAAGTCTACTGATGGTTCAAATGTTAACTAAATTTAAAAAATACCTTTAGGGCTGGCCTGTGGCATGGTAGTTAGGGTGGCTGGATCCCACATGACCAACTGCATGATTTGAGTACCAAATCCAGTGGCTTGGGAAACACATCAGGTATGCACATGTGTTTTGTGTATGCCCAAAATCCCAAAAGAAGGGAGCAATGGAGTGGAACGGATTATAGAATGACCATGCCTCATGGAGGGTGCTTTCTTACTTCCTCTCTCTCCCTAGTCTTTGGAGAGTACATGAGCCTGCTGACAAAAATTTTTAAAAAAGCAATATTTAGACTAGTGTTTGATCAAGCAAATAGGCACTACAGCCTAGGCAAGTTAACATATAAAGTTAACCATCACAATGAGTATATATACATACATATATATGCTTTTAATTTGCTAGAGGGTGTATGTGCACTCACCAGAGAGAGACAGAGGGAGAGGAAGAAGCATCCCCAAAGGGGTGTGGTCATGGCACAATTCTTTCTCCATTTCTCTATCCTGTTGCGATCTGGGGCACTAACACACATACACACATGATATGTTTTTCTAGACACTGAGGCTGGGATTCGAACCAAGCAGTTGGCCATGTGGAATCTAGCTCCCTTGGGTCTGAAGCCAGCCCGCAATGGGTATATTCAAGTAGGCTGGGAAGATTACATCTGGACTACACTCGCCGGAGTAATAGAAATAGACCATTTGCAATCTGAGTAGATTAAGTAAAGGAGAACAAGGTATTTAGGTGTGGCAGCTGTTGCTTTAAAATTTAATTTTATTGAACTTATTTAAATAAGAAACAACTGATAAATGGAAAGAAGTGGAATGTTTCTCTTGATTTCATAGATAATATTAAAATATTACATTCCAGGAGCCCCTGAGACTGATGAATCAAAGCCTTCTTGTGATGTTCAGGTGAGGAAGCTAGTGTGAAAATAGCCCCAGCCTCCTGCTGCTGCCACAGCACGGTGCTTGAGGGGAAAGCCAACTTTTGGCATGAATAAGCTGCCCTGGAACCCCATTTCTAGTCATCAAGGCAGGCTCAGCATCTTCTTCCAACGTCCTGGTAACCCAAAGAAGAAATTGAGATGATCTATTAGAGGGTTAGAGGCAAGTTACTCAAAACAGCACACAAAACTGAGGTATAAAAAGAGGAATATTTATCTTTTAAAAATACAACTTTGAACACTACTGACATCTCATTTACAAAGTATTTTTGTGAGATACTCTCCATTGGCTTTGCTTACTCAATATATTCTCGTATCTTTGATCAAGATTGAAGGGCGGGCACTACCACCGGTATAAAAACCCAAACCAAACCAAACAAAATAAAAAACAAAATCCAGCTCTGTCTCAGGGTATTAGCCTCAAACCTCCATCTTATCCTTTTCTTTTCCAGTAGGCAGTCTTCCTGCATGGTCCTTGGCATTCTGCCACTGCAGTGTGCTCATGAGCACCACAGAACTAGAGGTGTCCAGGTAGTGCTGACCTATTTGCAGGAAACCTTGTGCACCATGGCCCATTATTTATTCATTAATTCATTACTATTAATACTCACATCAACTCTCTGCAAACATTCAGCATGAAGTAAATACAGTATTTACAGCAGTACACGGTTTGCAATTCAACACAGTGACAGCGGAAGAAAAGGGACCAACAGACTCTAAGGCAGCTGGAGGGGAAAGAACATTAAAATAAATCCCTACTGCTAATGGGTGTGTGTGCGTGAATGTGTGCACACATGCACCCACATGTGAGTGGGCTGTAATTCACAGAAAACTAAATGTGCCCTCCTTTAAAAGCAGACTATTTACAAGTGATTTTGAATAGCACAAATTCATGCCAGTCATACTGGATACTTGCTTTCTGTGTATACATCTAGATTTATCTATTTTTTTAAGTCTGAAATAGACCTTTTTATCTGATAAGTTAGAGAAAATAACTTTGAAACATTCGTCAACTTTTGGTTCATAGTAATTTTGCAAAAAGCCACAAACCATGCTTTGCTGTTTAAAAGGTAAACCTGGTTAAGCACCTTCTAGAAGACACTGATGTGTGTGTTATTCTTTCACTGGTCTACTGGGGATTGGAAAGACAATGGCAGTTACATGGAGTACCTAGCGCTCCCTCATTCCTTTCACCAGTAGCCACTTTAATGTGAAGATAAGTTTAGAAACACAAATCACATAGAAATCATCAAAACATTTCAGTTAACAGTGTTTAAAAAAATACCAAAGTCTACAACAGTAGTACAGACACTGAAAACACTCTATTACTCATTAGTCTCAGAGATTCTTCATTACTACTAATCAGGAAAGACAGGAAGGGGAGGAAGTTACAGCACTTGAGGTTTGAGGCAATTTCTTTTTTAGGGCCTAGAGCATGAGGTGCTGTTCTAGGATCCTTATTTTAATTCAAAAGATATTCCCAGGAATGAATTGACAAATTTAAAGCAATTTCCACTTGAAAGCCATTGCAAATACAAATCACTTTCTAAGCTTGTCCAATACACATTTGTTTTGCAGGATCCCAAGTTATTAGGCCAAGAGATTCAGGTCAGTTTCAAGCCCTCAAAGCCACAGAATTTCCATCTCTTCTCCAGGCTGGCTCCTACTCCGGTCATTTCCTGCTTAAAGGTATGCTGGAGTCTACTCATGAGACACTCCACATCACTGGTGCAGATCTGCGGGACAGAGAGGACACCTCCATTCAAAACTAGTTCCACTTTCCTAACCCGGCTCTTCTTTCCCAGTGTAGCCTACGTTAGAATGCTGATGTGCCTGTGTCTGTGTTGGGGGAGGTTAACCTCTCCTTCCTTGTACATTTGCGGTGTGGGTAGAATGGCTTCCAGACGGCATCATCTCTCTGCTGTGACCACCAGACAGAGTCCACTGAGCTTGCTATTGGAAAGAGCTGATGTCTGTCAGTCATGTGGAGAGGCTTGGGTCTGTAGCCAGCTGAATGATGGCTGGTGACACTATGCTCATGCCCGCTGAAGCTGCCAGGTCTTTTGGGAGAGGAGGGAGGCAGAAACGGCTGCTACCAGAGTAGAATTCTTTACACATGCATTAGTTCATAAGGGAAAAGTAACAAGAATGGGGAATTATCTGTGTTTCTACCTCTGGCATTGTCTCTCTATCCCCTCTCTCTCTTACAAACACACACACACACACACACGCACAAACAGACACACACACAACCTCAATCAAAAAACAATAACCAAATCTGTGGACTCTGTTAGGGCTTGGTTTAGGTGATTATGTTTACATTGATAGCAACCTTTCCAACTGTGAACCAGGGGATCCTTAAAAAGCCCAGAGCTGCTGTCAAACCAAATATTCCTGAAGCTGGAGGGAGGGAACTCCCAATTCCATTGCTACCACTGCAGTCTGTCTTTGGGAGGCGCTGGCACTCCCCTGGAAGGAACCTGCTAAGGAGGAACAGGGCCTAGGGGAGGAGTGATGTGAGGAGTGAAGTCACACCTTGTCTCCTGTGCTGCTAGGTAGTCTGTATGCAGTTAAGCAAAAGTGGCACATTGCAAGGTATCATACAGAGTAGAATCCCCATTTCAAAAAGCATAAATTGATCATATTTATAGATATAGTCATATAAGCATAGCATATCTACAGAAAAGGGTCTGAGATATCCGTCAAACTGTTAACAGTGGTGATCCTTGAGCTGTGGAATTGTGGGTAATTTTCACTTTACTATATTTTTATATTGCTTACACTTTTAAGACAATGCTTATGTATTATTCTTATACATTAAAAAAGAACCAGATAATTTTTACTGACACAGAGTTCAATTTCGTACCACTGCAACCAATGACTTGGTCCTGGAACTCACATTCCATCTTCCCCCTCACTGCCAAGTGGGCTATTTAATCACAGAATAGCATCACTTTCTTTCCAGAAGGAAATGAGGGGAGAGTGCTAGCTAGAACTAAAACAAATGCCATCTAGGAGGATGTATCACCACAGATGGGAAATGGTTAGAGCAATACGTTTCCCAAATGGGCCAGTGCCTTTGTTAAGAGGACATATGTTTAAATGGCTTAACATTTTGGACATCCAACTGTTAGGAACCTACATTCAATGGCACGTCTCAAAAGGCCTGGATCCTGTGAAACAGCAAGTTCCATCCCATGAGCAGGCTTAACTGAATGCTGCTTTTCAAAAAATGTATCAGGAGTTTATTCATTCTGAGGATCAAGAGTCTTCTGCTGCCTCTGAGAGGCATCCTTGACTTTCTAGGGAATTAACACTTACCCCTGCTCCAGATGCTCTGTGAGTTCTCCCAAAGGGTAGCATCCAGGAACGAAATGGCCCATGAGAGCAACAGTAAGCAAGTACTCAGAGATCGTATTACAGAGTTCCTCAGCAAATTGTTCTACTTTTTTTCTTTCTTTTTTTTTTTTTTTTCTCCCCTGGCCTCTATTGTTTCATAGCAGACAATGAATGGCAGTGGTGATGGTGGGAGAGGTAGTCAGAGTAAGATTTCCAGTGCTGAAAATGAACATTTCCTAATAGCCAAAAGGCTCAGGACAAAACATTGATGGGTGAGAAAGCGGATATTGGCGAATTTGCTCGTTACGTTGCAGCTTACATGTAAATCAAGAGAAGGGAGGAAATTTCTTCTAAGATGCATCTTGGAAGTAGGGTGATCAACTTGTTCAAGTTGGCCTGAGATCTCCCTTGAAAGTCTCAAGTCTCAGGAAACCCTTCAGTCCTGGACAAACTGGGTAGGCATTGTACTTGCAGGAGGGAAGCTCTCCACCAAATCACAGTGAGAAAGCAGGGTGAAGGAAAGTTTCTTGGAGCAATAACTAATGACCTATTTATGCTTGATGACAGTAAGGTCACCTGATCACAAAGTTCCCTACATCCCTTTGCATACCCTTTCAGGCCCCCACATACCTTATTATCAAGACGGTGCAAATAGGAACAGATGTATTCAATGCTTGCTCCAAATGGGTGAACATGAAGGAATGTGGAGATAATTCCTGTAGAGATAAGAACATGGAGGTTACTTTTAGGGATTGTGTTCTTTGGAATCCCACACAGCAATGAATAGCTAGTGCTAATTCGCATGTACAACATAAACAGACTGGACACTAGTCTAAGCTTACATATGTTTTCCTCATGTAATATTTATAATAACCCTGTGAGGTAGGTATTGCCATCCCCATTTCACAGATAAAGACACTGAGGCACAGAAAGTGTAAGCAACTTATCCAAGACCACACAGCTGATAAGTGGCACAGCTTGTATTTGAACCTAGATAGTTGCTCTTAACCACTACACAAGCTGCCTCTCACTGTACTGTATCACACATGGAAAAGCTGGCACTTAAAGAGTCACTTCCATCCTCTGTGATGGCTAAAGACCATCCAAATTCCAGAATTTTGCAATGAATTTAGATCAAGCTTGGTTTTTGCACTTTCTTCACATGCTCTTTAAATTAGACTTCAGCCTCTTAAGCCTTTTTAATGCTTTGCTGTTGTGGCAATTGTAGAAATCATGTACTTTGCCTGATTAAACTAATGCCTCGTGCGGGAGAATCTGCTGATTGTATTTGGGTTTTATTTTGTGAATAGCTCTGTAAAGAAAAGCCAAATATTTAATTCATGGCCAGCTCAAGTGGTCACTAGAATTCTATGCTTAGAACCCCGAATCTCTTCGCGTAACATAATTCTCGTAGCTGTTTATAGCCCCTAGGAATACGAGATTTCCACGCTGCCTAGCTCTGGGGCAACTCATAGCTGTGCGTACTGCCTTGATTGTTCTGGCCTTGAGGTTAACTGTTCTAATATGTCTTTCCCTGGCACCAGGTGGAACAGCATTGTCCACAAGTATATTATTTCTTTCTTTTCAAATTCACCTCCGTTCATTAGATCTTAGGCACATCAAATACATTCAGAATTGAGTTTGCTGAAAAGCGCCAGGAAATAAAAGCAAAATTGGATTTGGTATATAAACTCCAACTTGTCTGTCCTTTTAAGAGACTAATGAAGAATAGCACACGTTTTAAATTGTAGCTTGACATTCAATCAGTTCTTTGTGAAAATCTTCCCTATATTAGATGGCAAAGGGGTGGAAGCTCCAGGAGGAATTGGTGGAGGGACTCCAAATCTGTTCAAAAGGGATGCTATTACTTTTAACACTCCTTTATTCTTAAATGACTAGGGAAATTGAATTTTTAAATGTGAATTCTAGCTGAGAAACTTACATTCTGAAGAGACAGTCCACGTTCAAAGAAATTCTAGATGTCATAGCCAAAGAAGGCTGTCAAGTGCCAAGAAATAACTCCGTAGGTTTAAACACACTAAGCAGATTCTGTGGGTTCATATCCAAACACCTGATTTTTCTTTCTCTTTGACATCTTAAGACTACCATCTTTAAAAAACAAACAGGAAACACTTTATAATTTTTTTCTAGGACTATCCATTTACAGAGGCTTCCTTCTACCTTCAGCGCTTCTCTGACAGGTCTCCCTGTTGCCATGCCAATTTGCCAAGAATTTTGAGTTGAAAAACATTAATAAGTTGTCACTTTTCTTGAAGACTCAATGGCAGGTCCCCTTGTGCATCTTTATTATTATATCAGAATGTTAAATCTGAGTGTATTATTCATTATCAAAGAAGGCAGAGAGATCTCTTCTTAATGTTTATTTCTTCTATGAGAGACAGAGAAAGGGAGAGAGAAAGAGAGGGATAGACAGGTACCCACGATGGGTCTTTATGCCATGATCCACACTCAGCTTCAGCCAGCTGGATCATGGGCAAGCATGCATGCCCCCAGCATGCACAGGGAGGTTCCGGGATGCAGACTCAGGATGTTCCCACGTAGATCTAGCTGCTTGCTCTGCTCCACTGCCTGGCCCTGAGTTAGATATATCTCAAAAATATGCAGAAGCTAGTCTATGTGAATGACTTTTGAGCCTGAGATGGAGCTGCTGTGTGGCTCAGCTTCCTAGGAGGCAGCTGGGATTATCTGTTTTGCCCTAAGACCAGCTTTTCATAAATGATTGCATATTTTAGAATCTTAGTCTGTCACTGTTCCCCAAATGGAATATAAAGTCAACAAATATTTGCAAATAGCATTTAAAGCATAAAATAATTTCCATTTACAGAGGGCTTACTAAGGGCCAGGCACTGTGCTAGATGAGTTAGATTAATTATTGTATTTAATACTTGAAACTGTCCTTTGAGATAGGTAATATTATTATGCCCATTTTGCAGATGGAGGAAGTAAAGCTCAGAAAAGAAATGGTAAGGTCAAAATAAGAAGATGAGAGGCTAGGCCTGTCTGCTGCTTTAACCATGTGTGCTATATTGCCTCTTTGAATACATTTTTATAGAGTGAGAACAATTCTAGCATTTATCTCATCAGAGCCCACCCGTGTCCCACATACCACAGCCAGCTTCCCGAGTCATCTGTCAATGTGCCATAATAAAAAATAAATATTTGGGGAACCAGCAGTTAGCGTAATGGCTATGTCGCTGGACTCCCACGTAGTCGACCGCGGTTCGTGTCCTGGACCCGGTGGCTTAAAACTCACGCCGGGCGCGTGTGCGTGCGTGCCCAAGATCCC